AAAGAGAAGGCTGAGGGGGGATCTTGTGGCCTGTTATAAACTGGTCAGGGGGGATCAGCAGGCATTGGGGGAGTCACTGTTCCCCCGAGCACAGCCAGGAGTGACCAGGAATAACGGTCACAAGCTGGCAGAAGGTACGTTTAGGTTAGATATCGGGAGGCGCTACTTCAGGGTCGGGGTGGCTAGGATCTGGAACCAACTTCCAAGAGAAGTGGTGCAGGATCCTACCCTGGGGGTTTTTAAGAGGAGGCTAGACGAACACCTTGCTGGGGTCGTTTGACCCCAGTACTCTTTCCTGCCATGGTAGGAGGTCGGACTAGATGATCTTCTCAGGTCCCTTCTGACCCTAGAAACTATGAAACTATAAAGGCTCCAAAAAAGAGAAACAATAAAACGAACGAAAACAAACAATCAGGCAAAGAGTTTTCATCATTTTTATGCAAGAACTAACATGTTGGAGTGATAATGTTATAGAGATGGTACTATTTTAGAGAAAGAATTCAAAACATTAAATACAAATACATGCAACATCTTAGCCAACCTGTCTTAAGGGACTTCAGTTTAACATGTATAAAAAATCTGCATTACTAGCTTTGAAGCAGTTTATTAAGATTTGGTCTATTTTTCTGAGACTCAGGACCTTGTCTCACAGTAACTTTAGGTGGCTTCTGGAGTTCTTAACCCGTGGACTGGCTGCACGTGAACACCTTTTAAGTGGCTTAAAGGACTCTGGGCACCGATACACGTGCAATGAGGCTGCTCCGACATACTGTGTGTTGGAGCAGACTCAATCAAGTCTGCTGGAGTGTGGTAATTACTGTGCTCCAGCAGACTCCAGCATCACACGCATCCGAGTCCCTGTGCTGAAAAATGGTGCCGGGGGCACTTTACTTAAAGCTTGTGTGACAAGCTTTGAAGTGCTCCCAGTGCCAGTTTTCAGAGCAGGGCTGCTGATTACATGTGACGGTCCAGGCTCTTTAGAGCACCTCTTGGAGCCACTTTCCCCCCACTCCTCCTGGAGCATGTATACTGTATAAATGCCCTTTTTGTTCGATTTAATGTAACCCGACTTTCAGGATAGGATTATTTCCAATCTGCCTATTTTTGCTACTGTTTTATTTATTGATTGATTTAGCATATGTGGTTTCGGCATACTGTTTCAGCCATCTTAAGGTGAAGTCATCGCCAGTTTTATTAATTTGTGGCCATTCTCTGCAGCTTTTCCTCTGAGGTTGAAGTCTTCCAGCATCCCAGGTGGTAGTGGGCCTGCTGTGCCTTCCACCACTGCTTCCTCTGACCACCTCTGCTTTTGGCAGGAGAGGAACCAGCTGGGTCCAAACAGGGGAGAGAACCGTGTCACTGCCACTGCTTGGACCCAGCTCCACTCTCCAGTGGGAGCAGACTCAGTTGGGTCTGAGCGTGGAAGGGAACCATGTCACTTGGACATGGCTGAGCAAAGCAGACAGAGCAGAGCAGAGCTGGGTTCAAGTGACAGTTTCCACCCTCACCCCTACAAAGCTGGCTCTGCTCCCAATGGGAAACAGAGCCCAGTCTGCGCAATGTGGTTCCCTCTCCCACTAGGACCTGGCTGGCTCTGCTTCAGTCAGGATGATGGCAGGAGGCACTATGGCTTCCAAGAGCTGGGGCTGCAGCACTTGCTCTGCCCTGAGCGAGCAGGGAGCCTGTCCATCCCCTACGCATCAAGCCACTAGTTGTGCAGGTGAGGGGCAATCAGAGGAGGCTTTTTGCCTAAATGTGCGAATTCTCCGCTAAGCTGACCAGCACTAAACTGATTAACACATGTTTGGCTTACAACATAAGGCCTGACACGGCTCTCCGTATCAATGCACATTTTTCCTCCATTTAGTTTGTTTCAGTGTATACACTGGGACAGTTTCCCTTTTTGCAGAGGGAATATGTGCATCCCAAAGGAATGAATGCACCATGAAGTCTGTACAGTCTGTTCATTCAGGGGTAAGGGTGCATTTCATGGGGGAGTTTACACATGGAACAGCTTCCAGCTCTTTCTGTTAAAGGGAAATCATGACTTGGGTCTTGGAAGGTAGAGTGAACGTAGGGAAAGAGTTGATCAGGAGGCTGTAACTGAAGTTTGGAGGGATCAGAACTGTATCACGCAACCAGAGAAGAGTCTTCTTGCGCCTGAATTGATATTTCTAGTTTTCAGTCACTGGGTCTTAACTGGCCATCCAGTATAAAATGATAGAAACTATAATAGCATGTTGTGAACTCCCCAGCTTTGACAAACAAAGCCCACAATTCTTGTATGTGGGTGAATTACTTTTATGCACTTGCTATCAAATCTCCTTTGAAAACAAATAATCCCAAACCTGAATTAAAAATCATTTTGTTTTTATTTTGATAAAAAGGCGCACAGTCTGTATTGTTAGATTAATAGGCATGTTTTTTACCTGCAAAAGTAAGTCTCTCAACATAACTTTAGAAACAGATGTTACCATAAGATAGGAAACAACAGCTGTATCCAATGTTCAAAAATAAAATGGATATTTAGTTCTTAAAATTAGGTGATGTTTCAACTTTTAAAATGCATAAAACTTATATTTTAAAAATGACTGTATATAAAGACTCTGGCTTATGACTATGAAAACATTTTAAATGAAAAACCCAACTATAACAATTTTGCCAGAAAAAAAAATCCCACTTAACCACAGCCCTTGAACAGTATACCAGAAATCCAAAAATAATAGCAACAAAGCTACATCAAAAGAATAATGTACATCTACAGTGGTATGAGAAATGATACACAAATAATGTGATTTACAGTAAGTCAACACATTTTAAAATCACGACTTGATCCAATTATTGCATCTTTAAGTCACGTGTGTCCTGCGTACATATAAGTGGTTTTACATAAATGCTTAAACAAAGAAGTGATCCCTAGGAAGCATTGACACCAAAATTGATTGGGAATTGATTGATCTGTAGTGAAAGTGAAGCTTGCTGTTAATTTACTTGTCCTAGTAGCTAACTTGTACAAATTTCTACTTTGTTTTTGAAAACTTATAATAAAAATATTTTAGCTTTAAAATATTTCCTTCTTGGTGGCTGGTACTGTGAACTGAATCAGTTAAAAAAAAAAATCACTGTTTGCCTGTCAGTTTCTCTTAATGGGAATGGCCATCTTTCTTGTCTGTGACACCAGCAGTTTCGGTTATTAATACTGACGAAAATGTACTGACACAACTGACATCTTCATAAAGATGAGTCCTTGAATTCAAGAAATACTGAGAGGCTGATAGGAAATGCCTACATTTATAAAAAAATCTTATTTGCTTAATTTATGTTCCCAATAATCAGCTACTTGACTGTTACTACTGAGTTATTTGATTACAGAACTTGCTCCAAAATAATAGCTGAAATCTACACTTTGCACCGTGACAGTCAATTTTACAAAGGAATTTGATCTTCAAGAAATCTCTGCACTGCAGTAACACTAGGCAAGCCAAATGCATCTTGATGTAGATTAAAATTGGTTGGCTTTCACTATATGCAAAGTTCTTTATACTGAATGATGTTTATGACAATCAATCACACTACATCTATTTCTCTATATAGCTGAATGAAAAACTATTAGTCTGTTTCATACATTAAGGCTATCTATTCATTTCTTGTTACCAAGAAATCCATTTTAAGGTCACTTAATATCAAATATACTACTCCCCATTTCAAACCACATCTAAAGAAAAATATATACATCTGAACATATAATACAAATCCTCATCATAGAAAGGGGGAAAGTTTGCTTTAAAGATAGAAAAATGCCAATCTGAAAATATAGGCTGTATTTCTGGGGTAATAAAGTACCTCTAGTAGCTGAGGGGTGACTAGCTAATTTTTTTAATGAAAACTAAGTTGCCTGAGTTCTTTTAAAAGGCAATAAATGCATGTGCTGTTCAGTTTCTATCTGGGGAAAAATCCAAATCAGAAATGCATATCATTCATGGAAACAAACCTCAACATGCTGTGTTAAGCTTCAGATCTTTGGATGTAAGCAACAGTACTTGAGAATCACAGAGCTATTGGAGAAATCGCACTGCATTATCAGGACAATATGCAGTTAAAGCCTAGGAACTCATCCACTGTAAAACATGTCATGTGCCATTCATTATGTAAAAATACAGAGAAATGTATATGCTAAGTCTGCAGTTTGGTCCGATTTTTAAGAGATGAATGTTCAGAAATCCCCATGGAATTCATCTGCAAAATCTGTATTAGAATATTAGTGATCCTCCAAACCTCTTGCATGTTATCTTCAATGTAAAAATAGCCAGATCTTAGGAAACATACAACAGTGCATATGAGGTAGGTTTTCACTCTAGGGCTTAACATATTGCTCAGTTTGGATATCCCTGATGTTTAAGTCTTCATAATTTATATTTATTCTTAACAGTCCTGTAGTAAACAGTTGCATTTGAGGAAAAGTCAACCATTCAGGATCCAAAAGAGCATTTTTGCTTGGGCAGTTAATACAATCCCCATAACATTTCTTAGAATAAAAGCTTGCTTTATATTTCAGTTGATTTTAACTATACCCTTGTTAAGTTAAAAGGTAATGGCTAGACAACTGTTAGCAATCTACACAATGTATCATTTTATAGAAAAGGATTAAAAAACTTCTCACAAGAGCCAAACAATACTGCAAGTTACCATAAAGTACTTCAGTGATTGAAATACCTCCTTCCAGAAATCTTACAAGATCTTTGGGGTTATCAGCTAAGGAATATTGGGTCTTCATGGTGCAATTTATGGGAATTTCTAAGATCAGGTTGGGCATTGTAAATGCATATGTACACAGAGGTACATTAATGCTGTCTCATTAGAATATAAAAACCGATGAGAACTACTTAATACACAGAGCAAAAAGAAAACATCCATCATACGAGTAGCAAGTCCTGAATTTAAAATTCAAGAATTGCTTAATACTATTAAACATAAAAAAGTTTCTAATTCAAAAAGAAAGCTGTGGGCAAATGTCAGTACATGGCGAGCCTAACTTATTCATATGTTGACATTTTAAGATACTAAAAGGGAGGGGAAGGTGAGTTGCACCAAAGGCATGCTTTCCAGCTAGAGGCTGAGTGGAGGCTGCTTCCTCACTTCCCCAGGCCCCAGGGCAGCTTGCCAGTAACCCCAATCACTGAGAGCCTGCCCTCTCCTCTGCCAGGACCAGGGGACTAGGCAGGCTGTCAGTCTCCCATGGCAGGCAATGAACTGCTATGTCAATGATAGAGGCGCACTACCTGACAGCTTGCCACCCTCCTAGGGAGACTGATGATGAGAAAAATCATTGCTACCCCTATGACAGACAACACCAGATGCTGACAGCCCCCACCCTGGAGAGCTGTTGCAAGCCCACTGCCCTGGTAGTCTTTTCTGCTACTGGAGTGACAGTTGTCCCCAATGCCTCAGCATCAGCAGCTGCTGTAGCAGGGTCTCCAAACAGCTGCTGCTGTGACAGCTCACTGTGGTGAGCGGAGGTGCAGCTCCAGATTTTGGTGGTCTATAGGAGAATCAGATGCTCTCCATTCCCCCATCCCCGCCCCAGAGCAGAAAGGGGAAGGGAGAATGTGATGTGAGGGGACCAAGAGTCTGCCCCTTTCTCCCCACCCCCCTATAGCACTACATGCACCTGATCACATTACATGTAGAACTATAAAACACAGAGCTGCAGAGAAGTTTCTGTTTCAAACCAGATCATTTCTGGGAAGCTGGTACCATTTTTGTAGTGTCAATCTCTGCTGTGCTGCAGGGGATATGCACGTGTGTCCATTTGACTTTTGCTGCGCCACAAATGTAATGTCTGTCCAAGGCACAACAGAAGTCAATGCTTTATATTCAATGAAAATGCCATCTTGCACCATGAAGTAGTAGTTTTGTTGTAAGTGGCTTAATTTAAGTGAATACGCAAGCTTTTACTCAACCAGGGCTGAATTTTTCTGTATTTCATACATTAAATGTTCTGGAAGGGCCTGAATAATTTATGAAAGTTCCCTTTTAGTGTTAAATACATGAGCAAGTTTTATCACAGCTTTCAAAAGCATTACTCACAGTTATTATGAGCGCTAACAATTTAAAATAGGTAGATTTAAATTATAATTGTTGTAATACTTCTGCAAAAAAGAAAGCTCCAGGCTTTGTTTATGTTCTAAACACACAAAACAAACTTACTATAGGATAGTAAGCTTGCATTTCGCTGTTAAAGCAAAAGCATTGTGATATATTATAGTGCACAACTTAAGTACGGTACTAAAAAACCCTTAACATTAATAATGGTAGGTATTTTATTGAAACAGTTTTTAGAAAACAACTTATCTCCCCTCCCCTAGTATAGAAGAAAAATGCTATACTACCATTGTCAGTCTTTCCAACATAGTAAAAATCTCAACATACAAGATTTTTTGGACAAAACAATCTGCAAAATGTTACACATCAGTAATAAGGCATCTGCACTTTACAGCTGTTTAAACAAAAAGCAAATAGGTCCCAAATATATATATTTTGGATCTATGTAAACAAAGCTTATTTCTATTTTTTCTTTTCATTCAAGAAAAAATATATACCCACATAGACCACAAGTGATCTTGGTGCTCTGATTTTAAAATATTGTGACTTGACAATATATAATCTGAGGATACAAAAACCGAATATAACCATCGTGGATTTAGTATTTTGAAAGACATCAACATTGTTAATTATTCTTGATGTGACAGGTAAGGTTAAAAATCTACACAAATTGATGCCATTTCCTTGAGCAAAATAGAGACCATTATGAAAATAAACATCCATCCGGTTTTCTAGTAATAAATATAAAGACAGTTATTTTAACATACTGCAACATAAGAAGTATTATTATAATATTGACCATAACATACAATCAGTAGTTTTTAAATCTCTCTCCTCACTGAGGCTTGAATCTTCTACCTTGTCAGCTGTCCAACAACTTTTAAGAGTGTCTTATTTTCCTGCTTTAATTGTTCATTTTCATCTTCAATATCATCTAGATCCTTTTGAAAAATAAAGAAGAAAAACACACACTCAGCATTCTTAGGATGTAAAAATGGATCCTTGAATTAATAATCTAAAAGTCTGGGAATTTAAGACACATTTTTTAAAACCAAGAGGTTACAGACAAGGAGGAAGAATTCCTGGTTTACATAATCTACATTTCCAAAGGACTAATAAAAGAAAAACAGTTGACATTCATGTTTTCTAATACTACTAGCATTACAACACATTGGGCGCAACTACACGTGCCCCTGACTGCGCAATTGGTACTGCTCAGTCCCAGCAGCACACGGGTCGTTTTCAACCCTACTGTGCAGTAGCAACCAGCTACTGGGCAGTAGCGGCAGCATCACAGTAAGTGGCCGAGGCACTATGTCGCTGAAGTGATGAGCTATGTCACTGTAGCTTGTTGCTAAGGGGACACAGTGTCTCACGTAGACGTGCCCATTAATACTGAATTCCCAGGTGCAAACTTCCTCAGAATAGAAATAGACCATAAACATTGAAAATATAACAGAAACAAATACATCAAAAAGCCAGAAGAGAATAGATATGATTAACTTACCAGGTCACTACTTGGATGCATTAATGAGATATTGGTATTTTCATTCCCCAAACTATGTCTGTATGTTTACACATATTAAATATAGATTATGTAGCTTATTGTTTCAATAATTTATAATTTAAGTTCAGCATCAGCAGTTCTCATGAAAAATCTGACTTGTGTCGCTATTAGAAACAAATTAAAAAAAAACCATCTCAGGCTCTGTTCAAAGTGTTGATTAAAGTTAGATTGATAAGTTCCTGAATTATAAATATGGTTAGGTTTCTTCTAATGCGAGAAAAAAATTAAGGTTATTACAGGCCACAAACTAATGCTCTAAGAACAGCAACCATCCATAAATGTGGCATTTAAAATGTGCCACATTTCATTTTTACTTCTCCCCCTGTGCTATCCTTCTGTTTGTCCTGCCATGAAATTAAATGAAAAACAGTGCAGCTGCATCTCACCTGTTGTGGTTAATAATTACCTTAGCTGCCTTTCAGTTCATTTTTGCTATAACTGTGGGGGGAGAAAGAAAAAGAAGAAGAGAGAAAAGAAATGACAAAGGGATGATAGTGTAAAATGTTAGGAGAAAAGATATTGGAAATACTGTGTTGGAAGTGGGAAAAGCCTGGTGAAGGAGACAGGGCAGATATGAGATAAGAGGTTCTGGCTGCTTTGGAGTGAAAGCCTGCAAATCAGAAGGAGGGAAATCACCCTTTCTCCAACTCCCTTAGATTTTAAACAATTAATTAACATAATGATAACACACATTTGCTTGCTTTTTTCTGGTGTGTTCATTCCAGAAGCTGGGAGTTGGAGCTTAGCTGTGACATCAATAGAAGTCCTACCCTGCCAATCAAAAACATGGCTTTAGCTGCAGGTGCCCAAAGCCACACTGCAGTCCCTTTGCAATTCTTCCTTAGTTTATTTTTTTTCCTATTTTTTGTTGTAAATGTAGCAGATAATACAGAACGTTTTACTTACTACTAGACTGTGTTACTTGTCTAACAATAGAGGTCAAAATATAGTTGCCTTCCCAGCAAAAGAGATTTAATTAAGGTTTAATATAAACCTGACATTTCATCATGTATATTATGATATATAAACATGGTCACTTGAATTTACTGGTTACAATAGTATATGATTCTATTATTTTAAGCAATGCAGACTGCTTTCACTATTAGGAAGCCCGTGCCAGCAAAAGATATATTGGGTAAATTGTAAAGAAGTACCTTTCCAATAAAATGACTTAAATTTAGCTCTTGTTTTTCATTGTTTTATGCTTAAACTTGCTTTAACTAAATGGATAGATAACTGAATTTTGGCCTGTTAGAACCATCTGTTTTAAGGCCTTTGGACAAAAATATTTTAAATTTACCTAAAAATAAAATAGGATGATATTGTGGAATGTGGATGCTGCAAAAATAACATTCCAAAGATTGCTAGAAGTATGAGGTACTTGAATACAATCCAGTAATAACAACCGGCTGCAGTTTAAATATCTAAAGAAATAATGGATTCACATATGTAGGTGATTTTTACCACTTCAGAATGTAAAAGTTTCTTATCAAGAACTGCATTCTGGGTTTAAATTAATGCTTATTACTGAAAGAGTAAGTGGCAGAGAAGTTTAGGTTTCACATACCAATAAGGAAAAATGACTACATAACTGACACTAATAGGATTGCAAATCCTCACTGGATATGCTCTCTCCAAACACACAACTTTAATTACAGTAATAACTCAGTGAGGTCAGTGGTGACCAACTCCCAACTATTTCAAAACTGAACTAAGATAACAAACATTTTGATGTCTCCAAATGACTTTCCTTTCAGATATCTGTATACCTTATGAACCATTTTATCCCTTACTTTTAAAAAAGGTAGCAGACGTGCATCAAATATCTTATTCATTTGGAATGAAACAATGCTATTTACAAGTGGTCTTTTCCAGTGGCTGTCAGCATAAGAGCACCTTATGTCTGGAAACTTTATTGTGACCTGCTTCCTTTCAGTCAAAACTTTGGATTAAAATATTAAAATGTACTTAATTTATCAAAATATATTAAGCATTGTTTTTTTAAAAAAAAATATTTACTTAGCAATGACTAGAACATAGAAAAGAGCCTTTTATACTCATAAAGGTTCACCAATGATGTCGATAGACCAGGGGCGGGCATAGTCCAGCCTATTGGCTGGATTCGGCCCATGGCAGACTCCATTTCCCAGCAGCATGTGCCCATGTCATTATAGCCAGTTTTCACGGAGACCCCAAAAAGGGTTGGGCTGTGATAGCACGGCACCAGAGTTTCCGCGGAGACTCACCAAAGCAACACTGGCAGGGTGCGGGGCTGGGCAGGGAGCTGCTCTGGGGCAGGGATTTTGCAGCACTGACAGCATGGGCCGGACCTGGGGCAGAGCTGTGATCCCTGCCTGAGGTGTGAGGACAACGGGGCAGAACCATGAGCTGCTCCCTCACGCCCTTGCCTGGAGCACGCAGGCAGTAGATCGCAGTTCTGCCCAGCTCCAGACCATGCTGTCAGTGCTGCAAAATCCCAGCCCCAGCTCCAGAGCAGCTCACCACCCAGCCATGTGCCCTGCCAGCGCAGCTTGGGCAGGTCTCCATGTAAACTCTGGCCCCATGCTGTCATGGCCATGTCCCTCCTGTTGTCTTCATGCAAACCGGGCACAGCGATGTTGGCACAGGCTGCTGAGAAACGGAGTCCGCCCCCCGGACGGATCCACCATTTTGCCCACCCCTCAGCTAGACTGATGAAAACTTCTCAAAGTGGCACCTGTCTGAATGCAAGCCGACAGCCCATCGTTACAGCTCGGACTGTTTGGAGAGGCGACCAATAACACATTAGGCATTATAACAATAAGGTTCTTTTCACCACTTCGCTAGGGCCTGATTAACAACAGGGCTTTGTGGAAGAGAACAAAGTAGGGAAATAGCGCAAATATATAGAGCTCAGAAGAACTCCAGATGCTGGTAAGGAACATTCACTACTCTGAGTTGGCTGCTGCACATCCATGTTTGGTTAAGATGAAAAAACAGCTATCATGCTATTATTTAAGAGAAAGCCAGTGAATCAGTTTGTTTTTAAGAGAGTCTACAAGAAATGGAGGCAGCCTTAAGGACATGAAGGTCAGTAATTTTCCTAACTGATATGAATCTGATAAAGAGAACCTTGATACAGAGATGGAAAGGGGAAACATTGTCCCTTAGGTTTAAAGGAAGCAAATGATGAAATTGAGATCTAATGCTTCTGTAGCACATAGTCAATCACCTATCCTTTTACTAAGCATGGACAGTAGGGCTGTGCAAAAAAACATCATTTCACTTTGACATCCGTTTCACTGTTTCAAAGGGACGGTGTTTCATTTAATCATTTTGTTTCATTTTGAAGCACTGTCCTGTTCCGTTTTGTCAAAACTGTTTCACTGTTTTGACAAGTTTCAACATTTTGCCCACAGGTTATAATGGGGAATCCTAAAAATGCCTAAAACTTCATCATTTCTTGCCTGATTTGGATGAAAATTGTAAGGATGGTAGAGCCTTCTCAGGGCATGAAGCCTGCCAAGTTTCAAGGAGATAGGTGCAGAGGTTTCTGGGTAACTGAACCTCAAACTGTTCAAAGCAAAAGTCCAGAAACTTGCCGGCAGTGGCAGCCTCCTCTCATCTGGCGTGCAGATCTGGAAGTCTGCACCTTCAGGAGGGCGGCAGGGCTGTGCTGGACTCCTCCCGGGGGTGTGAGCTCCCAGATCTGAACACTGGATAAGAGAAGCACTGAAGAAGATTGCTGCTGCCACCTGGGACTCCTCTCATCCAGCGCGCAGATCCGGGAGTTTGCACCCCCGAGAGGAGTGTGGCACAGCCCAGCAGCTCTCCGCTTCAGGCGAGGAGGGTCAGGCTGCCTCTCCCACATGGGACTGGCACTGGGCACGAGCTGCGCCCAGTACTGGACAAGATTGCTGCTGCCGTCTGTCCCAGGCGGCTGCAGCAGCATGAGTCTCCTCTCATCCGGCACGCAGATCCAGGGGCTCACAACCCTGGGAGGAGTCCAGCACAGCCCAGCAGCCCACTCTTGCCACAGCACTTCCTGGTCAGACCCTGCACAATGTCTCCTGGAAACAGGCATGTGGTAAAGATGGAAATGTCTCACACCCTACTGGCTTTTCAAATAACCCTAACAGGAGCAGAAGCATGCGCACACGTGCCACAACCCTTTCCAGTTGTTCTGTGAACAAGGCATGTGAGGCACTTTTACTTGCAGTGCTGTGGCTGCAACATCATTCATAGCACTCTGGGATGCCACATCCCAGTTGAGAAATACTGGTTTAAGCTGCTCTTAAACTGTTTAAGCTGTTCATAAAACACGGACCAAATTGAACCTTTGTAAGGTAGATTCAGCATGCGGGCCATAGGCTGCCGACCCCTGCCCTATATTAACAAGGTTTCTGAAAAAACTAAATAAATACTGTTTTATGTTACACTTTATATTCAGCAGGAATTGCTGTCAGCCCTAGTTTAATGCAGAAGTAGTACAGTTCCAAGGACTTACAGTACAAACAAGGGTCCTAAGACATCTCTATTCAGCTTCATGAATTTCTCATGCCAACAGGAATAATCTTTTCCACTTATGGTCACAGCAGGAAAGGGCTGACTGTTTCTTAGAGGTCAACAAACCACTTGAACTCGTGAAATAGCAGTGGTCAGATCTCCAATGCCCAGGCTGAATCTGACTCCTCCGTTGAGGTAAGTGGCATGACTTGTACAGTTTGGCAATTTTCCCATGAGTACTAACTTCCCTGGACAGAACTGAACTAGGACTCTGTCTCTGTATTCCCCCAGTTTGGGGACAAATAGAAGAAGGTACAGAGAGAAAAAAATCCTCTTTAAATGTAGCTGTCTTCAAGATGGACAGAGAATCTATTGTTGTCCTTGAAGAAAAGAGAATCTACTGCTGCCCTGGAAGAGAACTCACAGTGGTTTGTGTTTTGTCTTGTTGCAAACCTCCTCCCCTTCCCAAACCTCAACCCCACGATTCCTCACTATCTATTCATGTTCGTCATATTGATTCCTGCCTAGTTTGCCCAATGTTGCCCTTTCCCACCAGGTGGACAACCATGGCATAATAGCAGAGGGCTATGCAAGACTCCCTTAGAGCAGGGGTTGGCAGCCTATGGCCTCTAGAGATCCAGCCTGGACCGCTTCAGTGGTGGCAGCCAGATCCTAGTGACAGCCCTGTGAGAAGGATTCTGAGACACAGTTGTGAGAGGATAGGTAGCCAAACAATTCCCAGAATTGAGAGCTCTCTGGGGAATGCAACTGCATGCTTTAAAAAACAGGTACTAAGCAGGAGAGAAATTACAGTTAAAACTGGTTTGGCTCCATCAAATACAGAACCTTCAAACAGCCCACAGGTTGAATAATTTTATTTTTGCTTAGATCAATAAGGCTTCCTCTTCTCTTGTGCTGCTACTGGAGCTGAGTTAGTACTACAGTTCCTGCTGTAGAGAAAAGGGAGAGAAAGGTAAAAAGCACTGGTTTTGGTAATATAAAGAAGGCTTGACTCAAGTTAGAGGTCTGAAAGAAGTTAGGGGCTCTGCCACTAGACTTTCTGTGGTGCTGTATTAGTGACAATGGAGGGCTCGCTGGCATGCCTTAATGTGAAAAAAAATAACTGCACCTACAGCATATGCATTGCCATGATCCCCCAAGTACTATGTGCCTTGTCTATTCCCATAGGGACAATCCTCTGTTTCTGTGCAAGTCCTTCATGATTCTGTGCAAGTCCTACTGCTAATTGTAATGATGCTGTTTCTTCATTCAGTCCCAAACACAACACTGTTCTTTAATTTCTCCAGCAGTTATTCATTCCCTGAGCAGAGCCTTTGCTCAACTGTGAGGTCCTCCGTGTAAGGCCAAGTCTCAAAAAGAAGACCTAATTATTTCTACCAAGAGTGAGACCTTACAACAACTGTTACTAGACTCCCCAGATGCCACAGGCAAACTGAAAGATGTTCCAAAAGAATGCCTGGCTACAGATGGATCTTTGGCAATAAATGCTTTGCCTAATTGTGCATCGAACTCCTGGAAGACTGTTTCAGGCTTAACACTAGGAAAAACTTCTTCACAGTCAGGGTGTCCAGACTGTGGAATAAACTCCCTCCAGAGGTGGTGCAGTCACCTACCCCGGAAATCTTCAAGAGACTGGATGGTCACCTTGCTGGGGTCACCTAACCCCATTTGATTTTCCTGCCTAGTTCAGGGGAGCTGGACCCGATGATCTTGGGAGGTCCTTTCCAGCCCCTTACATTCTATGAATTGTACTCACAATCTTACTTCCAGCCCCTTATAATCTATGAACCTAATCTTCAAGAAAGCCACGAAGTCTGTGTTGCTCTTGGGGAGGACACTAGAAACAATGAAGTCTAATTGTACCTTAACTTAAGACTGGACACATAAAGCACCTATGCACAAGTGTGGAGCCTGCCCTGACACACTGGAATTCCAGCTCAGTTAATCAAGTCTGCTGAAGTGTGGCAATTGCTACGCTCCAGCAACCTCCTAAGTCTTGTTTAAATTTTCAGCAAGGGGGCACAAAACACACAAAACAGAAATACCCAATTTCTTGCCTATTTCCCCAAAAGAATAAATGACGTTGGGAACAATAAGAAGAGGTGGGAAATTTGGAGGCTCTTCTCATCTTGGGGTAACACATAACAAAATATGCTTACTCTGTTTAATAAATCGATTTCTTCCTTCAGCTTCCCAATCAGTTCCTCCTTGTCTTGTGTCATCTTCACTAATCTCACATTTTCTTGTTTCTCCTTTGCTAGTTCCTGTAAATTATATTAACAGTATTAAAATTAGTTTTTAAGAAACAGTTTTTAGTTTGCTCTAAAAGGAAAAGTTTGCTTTTATCCTGAAATGTCTTTTCTTCAGATATTCAAGTCTGCAGATCCTGAGTCTTCAGGCCACTGCACCCCAAAGACCAGACAGGTCTGTTAAGTCTAGAACAAAACTCTGATAAGCCACTAGTGTGATAAACTTCCAGACCTGACATTAACAAGTATGTCACTTAAGCGCTAAACCCACAAGGTGACCTGAAAAGTATGTAAGTGAAAATATTAGCTACTAATGTTACTACACTGATGTGCACCAGAGAAGGCAGAATTTTATCCAAGAATTATGAGCCACAGAACTGTTTTACTAAATTGAACTACAAAGGATTGAAGACTCATTGAAGGATCTGTGGGCTTAGATAGGAGAGAGAAATAAAAGTCTGTCATATGAACAGTAAACTGACACACAAACATTACGAATCCAGTAAATCAGGCTTCAGGGGCCACGTTCTATTCCATTTTGCTCAAATCCTAAAATTCCATTAATGTTTCTACTTTTATAATACACTGTCATTTGACCCTTAAGACCGAATCACAAAAATTATAGAAGAGGAGAACCCACCCACCTTTTGTACTAACAGTTTTTTTTAGGGACTCAAGTAAAGTGGAATAGACTTATGTGTAAGCTCTAGAGGTGCACCGATACATTGGTCCCATATCAGATCAGCACAGATATAAGACAAATTGGCAGCATCAGAAATTAGCTTTTTTTTAAGCTGATATGGCCGATAATGTGGCTGATAAATACCTCATGCATGTATGAAGCCACCGCACAATACACATTGTGGAAAACAGACGGGTCCAGCTGGTAAGTATGTTGTAAGGGAAGGGGCATGAGTGGTGCAGATTGAGGTCCCATCAGTGAGGGAGGGAGTGAAGCTGGGGCTGGAGTAGGGTGCGGGATGGAGCAGTGAGTGGCTCATTCAGGGGGCATGGGGAGGGGGTAACGGCTCCTGCTGCTGCACACACCCCGAGAGGGCACAGGGGGGCATGTGCCCCTGGATTTGTATGTGGGGCGAGGGCGGGCTGCCACTGCGGGCTGGGGCCAGGGTGGTGCTGAGATCTTCTTGGTGGGGGGCTGAGCCAGGGCTGTGCTCAGAGCAGGTGGTGGCAGCACTGGGAGCGGGGCTACAGTGAATTTTGGGGTCGCTGCAGCCCCTGGTGTAGTCCTGCTCCCAGTGCTGCCACCACCCACCCCAAGCGCAGCCTGGCCCAGCCCCCCACCAGGAAAAGCATGGCGCTGCCCCAGCCCCAGACTATAGCTGCAGCCCACGCCTTGCCCCATGAGCTGATCCAGAGGCACACGCCCCTCCATGCCCTCCCAGGGTACGTACAGTGGTGGGAGCCACCCCATGCCCCGCAAACGAGCTGCCTGTGGCTCCAGCCCATGCTAAGCCCTGGCTGTGCAGCCTCCTCCCCCGTCCAGCCCCACTCCCTCCTTAACCTCAGGGACCTCCATCCACCCTTTCCCACTCCCCTTTCCTCCCCCCTCGCCCCTTCCCCCACAACAGACTTACCAGCCAGACCAGCCATATCAGCAATCGGATCAGTATCAGCTGATATGGCTTGTTAAAAATTGACCATTGGTATTGGCCCCAAAAATCTCAGACCCGGATCTATTTATGAGCCTAATAGGTTAAATAAAAAAACCTATTTAAACTCTCTCCTTCCTCTTCCCTTTGTTTTGGCTGTAGGTTATTCTGGAAAAAGGCAGATTTGGAAAGGAAGTATACAGGGCAAGTTCAGTTATATCAGGCTTCCCTATTAAATCAAAAAGGAAAAAAAGAAAGAAAAAGAAAAAAGAAAGTATAAGTGCTTTTCAGTAATTTATTTCCAAACTTTCCAAAACCAGGTCTTCCTTGAGCAGGAAGGAACATTTACTTACCAACCCTCATCCACCAAGAGGCAAAAGTATTTGGCAGGCTATATACATGAATAATTTCAGAGGGAGCAAGGAAGGCCAGGAATAAAGCTGGATAACATTTTTTCAGCAGAAACTGTTTTTTGATAAAAAATGTAGATTCAAAAACAGAACCGTTACACAATTACACACTGGTTTCTAGAAAATAGCTTAAAATATGGCGAAAATCCTTGTAAATTACTTCAAAATGCTCGAAATATTAATTGAATGTTTTATTCTGAGGCACCGAATTCAAACTGTGAATTCTAAGTGATAAATTCAAACCAAAATTAATTTAATTAATACACAAAGATGGAAAAAATCCTTTAAAAAGTCTTCCATTTGGGTCATTCTGCAACAACTGTTTCTGTGAACTGTCAGTAAACTGAAAAAAATGAGTTATTCAGAACTTAGACTATGTTTCATAGTCTAAGAAGTGAACAGATCTGATAGGATCACCTTTAGTATCACTCCCTTATATATTAAAATGAGAATTTAACATCTGCGATAATAAAAATGTCAATGTGATTCTGCATACTTTTTTTATTCATAAAGAGCTGACAGTACTTTAAATATGATCACTTGATACTTATCATCTTTCCAGTGAATTTAAAAAGATATTTCACTTTGCAACTAAAACATCATAGGTTTGTATTTACCCTTTCAAGTTCTTCAATTCTCTTTTCCAAAACAGTGTTTGGTACAGAGCTCCCAGAAGAATTTGCATCCCTGCTGCATCTGCTATATCCTGTCCTGTCGGTTCGGGAATATCGATTTGGGACGTCATCTTCAGGTGCATTAGTTGTGCTGTATAGGTAAGATTTAGCTTATTAACATGCCTTAGTCTAAGATATTAAACATATTTTTAACAAATATTACCTGTATTGTTAATGTTTCTAACTGTGTTTATATTCTTTTTCAGATGTCATCATATTCATTTCAAATTGAATATTTTTCAAATTAAGTATCAGTATCTTAAAGGCAACCTCAATAAAACTTACCTTTCATTTTGTCTTTAGTTAAAGAGGTGTTCAAATTGATACCAAAACAAAAACCCCAACAAAAAACAAAAAGCCAACCAGCTAAACCCTGTAAGTTCTACCACGGAGATCTATCTGCCTTGGTCAGAGGCTAAGGCGAATGGAATTCATCAGTTAAACAAAGGCTTTGATATCTTAGACAGCATATGATCTGAAGCCTCTGAATCAGAGTACTACAAAAAAGGCAATTTGTTCTTTTGGAAAAGTGCATGTGCCTTGTGCAATGAGAGTCCCAAAGACGGGGATCCCCTGTCTCACTGTTTAGAGTGAGACTGAGGGAAGCTATCTGAGGGTGACCCTTAACTAAGGATGTCCGTATGATTTTGATGTGTGAGGAAAAGGCCAAGAACGTGTAAGGATTTGAAGGTATCTACCTGTGATAAGGAGAAAACACTGCACAAAGAAGTTAATGTATAAGCTAAAGCTAACACCTGAGTCCCTAAAGGTAATGTAGCAAATATTTCTGTAGATAACAAAACTGAGACATGAACAAAGATGTTTTAAAGGGTATTATAAAGAAGTAATATAGCGTACTCATATACTTTAGCCCTGCATTCCCCAGTACTATTTGCATGTGTACGTATTTATGGTGGTTTATCCCACCAGAGATGCAATGTTCTATCAATTTTGGAACCTCAGTATGATCTACTACTGTTATCAGCAGAAATAAGTCTCAACTTTGCTCCATCATTAGCAACTCTGTTTCTCAACTCACTCACCTATTCAGTATCTCATGGAAAAAATTATAAAAAAAACCTGTGTTTACAAATTGGTTGAAAATGTATAATTTATAAAAATATATATCAAAGAATTTCCTACTACCTGTGAAACTAGAATTCATGACTGATACCAAAACAAAATACTAATCTAGAAATTAAGTTCCAGTTTTTAGCTTTACTGTATTAGCATTTGTATCTTTTATTGGGTCCCCAAAATACCAACTTGTATAGTATGAGTATGGCATACTACAGGGGCTGCAATAAATTTCAACTTATTAAAACTACTTGGATTGTTTATCATTACATATCAGTTCAACTTTTTATATTTTCTCAGTTACCAAAAAAATTACCCCCTAGAAACAAATCTGAAAAACCTGAGTGCAAGGTCTTTAAGCTTGAGATAAGGGATTTTATATATTTAATAAGAGACAGGTTTCATATAAGTAATACCTATAATTAAAAACACAATGTATTCAAGACAAAACAAACAAAATAAGAGATACATTGACTTGAATTCAAAAAAGAAGGTTCAGCATTAAGAATCGGTGTCATAAACTAGTTTCATAAATGGGTTAAAATATGAAGGACACACAAATAAGTATTCTCTGTGTCAGAACTCTTCACAAACTAAACTCAGGGTATAGACAGATGTAACAACAGTATCAGCACCAAAAGTACTCTGTACAGCTTGTTATGATGTAACTGTTATTTGTAGTTTGTTTCATTTAGGGTTAAAATTAGTTTTGTAGCTTGTATGTAGTGCTACAGCAACATGCAGATGAATAGTAACAGCATAACAGTGGATGTGCATTCCTGTGCTTTAATTCCTCCTCCCCTTTTAAAGCTGTTAAATGTAATATCTGTCCATAACCTCAGTCTCCTGACAAACAAAGACACCATAAGGGAATCTAAGAGAATGGGTATTATCAGAACAGATACCCAATGCAGCTACATGTTTAGTTATGATTAAGAGACAATATTATAATCAGCTCTTCAGTAGCCTGTAGTTGCTGCTTCATAACGAGAATGGGTGGTCATTCACAATGCACAGTCTCAAGTAAAAAAATTAATGGAAGTGGTAAATTAGAAAGCTTTATGTCCTGGCAGGAATATTAGGAATCCTTCAGCTTCCTAATCCCACCGCAGAAGGTTCCTTGCCTAACCCTCACCTGCCAGGGAGGGAAAGGAAGAAGAAGAGGGGAAGGGAAGGGAAGGCTAGAACCTTTCCAACAACCTTCCAACTGCAAATCAGAAATCATGCAGCTGAAGTATGCATGTGTTGGGTTTCTAGGGTACTTTGAAAAGGATTTCAACATATCACCACTACACTATGCCATATTTCCTTTGAAAACATATCTATGGATGTGATTAGCATGCTCCTTGAACAGCCATTCACTTTATAATTCTAGAAAATCCTGCTTGACAATGTGAAAATCTAAATGGATATAGTGCAAAACAAAAGCAAGCATAATTTGGTGCAAAAAACAGCTTTTCAAGGATATAAGCACTGGTTTGCTTCAGTATGTGTGAGGTTCCAAGACATACTGACACAATTGTAAGGAATTTTGTAGCTTAATGGTATTACCATATTTAGCACTGTTTACTCTTCATTTGAAGGGCCTTTTTTTATATATCTTTCCTAACACCGGATATGCATGTTGCAACACAACAGAACAGAAATATTTTAGTTTAACTCCATAACTCCTAAAAGCTTTAAAAAGAGGTATTTTTCCCTGTTTTATATACTGAAATCCAGGGGGCCCTATGGAGTACTACAAATCCAGTATGCTCAATCTTCTCATTCAATTGTGATTTTTCTTTCTTTCTTTCTTTCTTTTTTTTTTTTTTTTTTTTTT